TCCCACAGTTACGCATCTCAATGATTTTCTCTTTGTGGGTCCTCAGGATAGTGATGTGTGTGCCCAATTGTTGTCCATGTTTTTGGATCATTACAGTGGAATTTGGGGTTCCGGTGGCAGAGTAGAAGACCGTGGGTCCGCAACGCGCCTGTCGTTTTTGGGGATCGAGATAAATACCGCCAGGATGATTTTTAATTTACCGGAGGAGAAGTTGTCGGTGCTCACGTGGATAATGGATTTGGTCAAGGGGTCCAAGTAGGTATAGCTAAGGCAAATGCAAGTATTGTTGGGCTACATGTCGAGTCCTGCCAATTTGGCAGGGCCTTTTGTCGTTGGTGACGGTGGGTATTCGGGAGCCGCATCATTACTTACGGATCTCAGCCAAGCTTCGAGCGAACTTGCAAGTTTGGAGCTCCTTTCTGGGTGGGTACAATGGGCATTCTTGCTGTTTCCAATACAGAATTGGAGCTCTATACGGATGCATCGGGTTCGGTAGGTTTTGGTGCTTTTCTTCCGGGGAAAATGGCGTTCGGCTGGTTGGCCCCCTGGAGTGGCAGGATTGGGATCTAATGAGGAATTTGACGTTTTTGCAATTGTTCCTGGTTGCAATGGCTTTATGGGGGTAGGAGCTCAGGGATAGGATGGTAGTTTTTCATACTGACAACATGAGCGTGGTCCATGTGATTAACCTCTCGTTGTCTGCGTCGCCACCGGTCGTGGCGTTGTTACGTTATCTTGTTCTGTTGAGTTTAGCATTTAATGTTTGGATGAAGGCTCAGCATGTGCTGAGCTTGATGAATGTGGGGGCTGACACTCTTTCTCGGTTTCAGTGGGACTGGTTTCTAGAGTCGGCTCCAGAGGCAGAACGAGAGGGACTGCGCTGTCCTCCATGCTTATGGGACTAAGTTTTGGAGGCTTGGTGTCAGATTCCTTGCCCCCATCCACATGGAGGTTGTATCAGGTGGTGTGGGTCGAGTTGCAGGATGGTAGGAGGTTATCATTGGAGGCGGTGCACTTTGAGGTAACGTTACGGTATTTGCGTCGCTTGTTGGAGCTTGGGAAGTTGTGTGCGTTAGCGGACAAAGCGTTGTCGCCATTATCTTTTCTTTTCCAATTTAGGGGTTGGTGGGACATTACAAAGGAGTATTGCTTACTCCGGGTGTTGAGAGGTTGTCGGACTCGGCGGTTGCCGGATCATCGCTGCCCTATTTCAGTAGATTTGCTTTTGCAGGTGTTGCTGAGAGTGTGTGGATCGGTGTTTGTGTGCTGTCTTTTTCGGATAAGTTTTGCTATTTGTTTTTTTTTGGAGCTTTTCTAGTGGGGGTGCTGGTGGCTCCAAATAGGTGGTCGGTGGTCAGATCACTTTGTGGACGTGCGGATCAGGAAATCTAAGACAGACCAGACTGGCAGAGGAGCTTGGGTTCGTATTGGGACATTTGGAGGGGAATTTTGTCCGGTCAGTTTGTTTTGGGAGTTTTTCTCGGTGCGTCCGTCGGGTTCATCCTACCTGTTGAATCACAAGGATCGGTCTCCGTTGACTCATTATCATTGGCTGGGTAGATGGGCTTCAGGTCGTTATCAGTTATATAATTAAAGTTCTCTTACAAAGATTTGTATCGAGAGATAGAGGGAAAAAGACCTAACAAAGAGAAGCTCTAAAACTGGATAAATATAGGAATCCACCAAAAACCTATTAAAAACAGAATAAGTAGGATCTGCTGCACAGGAGGGATAGCCCTACTTCCTCAGAGACATCTCAGAGATGTCAGATGTTGTGTGGACAGTCTGTAACTTCGGACTTCGTCTGACGCGTTTCGTAGGGGATAGCCCTACTTCCTCAGAGACATCTCTGTCTCTGAGGAAGTAGGGCTATCCCCTACGAAACGCGTCAGACAAAGTCCAAAGTTACAGACTGTCCACAGAACGACGAGAGATAGGAGGTGTCAGCGCAGCAGCCCGGCGATTTTCTGGATCACTGGCGTTTGAATCGCAACATCTGACCAGCAGTGCAGCTCCCCCGAAGTGAGGCTCGAGGTGGAACGCACTGTGGAACGCAGACCGACCTCACCGGTCACCAGATGCCAGCTACTGTATCAAGATCGCAATCTGAATCCATCCGTGCCGGTGCTTAAGGTTACTGTGCATATTTTACCTTCCTAATTTCTATTGCTCTCTATGTGGACTGAATTTTAATATATTTTTATGCTACAATAAATTTTTGTTACCTTTTAACCAATTTTTTGGCGATACATTCTATTCATTGCTTAGGGCAGCCAGCTCTATGTACTGGCTCTTTGCCCAATTACAGACATTTTTCTATCACATTGTGTAAGGTGATAGTTTATTTATTTCTCAATCTTTGTAGCTTTCATCCAAGTTAGTGAGTGAAAGTATGTAATTTGGCACATATTACTCTTTTTCCAGAATCCTGTTTTCTGGGTTATGAGATAATTCTGCCAAACATATATGGTTTGTGTATATACACACACATTTGAATCTTCATATTAATTTGATTTCCTGCAACTATAATATTATATTTTGCACAATAATCCTTTAACATTCACCAGCTCCTGGATTTTTTACTGCGTTATCAGTTATATGTTTGCCTGCATTTATTGTAATTTCTGTTTGCTCCTAGGGAGGTCTCCTCGATATGTTCGGATTTTTGGGCACTCCTATATCTATTAGGCTTCCAAGCGAGCGGAGGACTATGGTCAGAACTTGGGGTTTCCGTTTGAATTGCACGTGTTCGTTGGAGGGGTATCTGTGGTTTGTCGTGGACTCAAGTTTATGCTGAATGCGTAGCCCTTAGCAGGTTTGTGTCAGGGGTTGTTACCATTGTCATACATGCTGGGGGAAATGATTTGGGGAGGGTTTATACCGTAGATTTGGTGCACTCCATGAAGCACGATTGGACCAGGTGTCTGGCACTATTCACGAAGTGTACCATTGTGTGGTCGGAAATCATTCCTCATCCTTGTTGGAGCCAGGTTCCTCATGCCTAGGGGCTCGAGCGTAGTAGGCGGAAGCTGAACATGACCATTTCTTGTTTTGTTAGATGGATGGGGGTTGTATCAGTTCGTCACCGGGAGTTGGAAGGGGATAACGAGACCTTGATGAGGGCAGATGGGGTTCATTTGAATCACATAGGGCTGGACATCTTTAACGTGGGGCTGCAGGCGGGCATAGAAGGCGCTGTCAGCAGGGGTGTGGTGCCAGCTAGGGTGGAGGTTGGGAGCCGGCGTTGCGGTGGCAGTTTTTCTGGCAAACGAAAGTGATGGAAGGACCGAGTTGGCTTGGGGAGTCGCAGTCTGCTAGGGCTGATGGCGAAGGGTAAGCTGTCTAGGACTCTGCAAAGCATATGGAGTATCTGTCTGTTGGGCAGTCACCCCAACAGCTGACAGGTGGGAGAAATGCTGGCGCATTGTTTACATTAAATCAAGCTGTGGCTGTTGGCCTTATCCAATATGCAGGTGAAAAGATGTATCTGGGTCAGCAGTCTTGGCTATAGCTGTAGCAAGGATACAGTTTAACATAACCTCAAAGCCAAAACAGAAAATATAAGAACACAGAGAAGGAACACAAACTTAGCTTGCCCTTTGTTTTGTCCCCGCTCAGATCTCAAAAATGTCAAGCTCACATACACCTTTACAGAGACAACTTGTAACATTTGCATATCAGCCTAATTCCACCCAAAAGAGCAGTCTAGGTCTAAAATGCTGGTAATTTAACTCTGCAGATACAGCTCTCCAGACAATCAGTTTTGCTTTCAATGGGCCTTGTCAGTGAGATGACAGTGAGGAAGTGTTCCATATTACGATTACCCTTTTGACTTGGGTAGATGCAAGTCATATGCATTTAAGCCGAAACAGAAGATATGAAAACACGAAGAACATGCAGAAGCTCAAATAGCTCGCCCTTTCGGTTAGTGCCTGCTCAGGATTCAAACACTTGTTAGCTCACATGTGCCTTAACAGATATAACAGATACTGTGTGGACCCCTTGCTCACTGTACTTAGAGAGGTACACAACATACTGACGAGGCCCATTAAGGCTGAAATGACCTTTTGTGGGTTGCCGTATCTTTTATGCTGAGAGACTTTGACAGAATTTCTGATCTGGACAGACCTTTTGGGCTGGGTCAGTCTGATTTGCAAATGTTTCTGGTTTTCATATTTGAGTTGTTGTCTGTTTTTAGTTTTCTTTTCCTCTGTTTTGTTTTGTTTACTTTACAAATAGCTGAACCCCGCTTGGAAACTATTAAGTTTTAATTTTATAGAGATAAGCTGATAGGCATAGATCTGCAAGATAATGCATTTCAGAAAAGGGGCATTTATGGCAATAATTAGGGCAAATAATAAATATACATGTATTTGTATATTGAGATTTCACAAAAACAGAATTTTCTTTGACAGTCACAGCCGTGTTGTTTTGTGGATGATTATTAGAGATCAGTAAAGTAGTGAAGGAGTTAAGCATGTATTTATCCTATCACTTTAATCCAAGCGCTGAGCTCGTGTAAGTAGAAAAAGCATTATTAAGTCCTAAACTCTGAGCTTAGGATCAGGTTTTTTTTTAACCCTGTACATTCCTAGCTGTTTCTTCATCAGCATCATTTAAGAAAAGACAGATTTCCCCAAACCCACAGATACATTCTCAGACACTCATTCACACAAACATATACACACTGACACAGGCACCCAGATACGCACAAAGTCTGCCACACACAAATACACACTGACCAAGGCACACAGATACGTCTGCGACACACTCATACAAACTGGCACACGCACACAGATATGCACAAACTGTGCCACTCACAGATATACACACACACACACACACAGATATAAGCACAAAGTCTGCCACACACTGATACACACTGACACAGGCACACAGATACGCACAAAGTCTGCCACACACTCATACAAACTGGCACACGCACACAGATATGCACAAACTCTGCCACTCACAGATACACACACATATATAGGCACAAAGTCTGCCACACACAGATACACACTGACACAGGCACACAGATACGCACAAAGTCTGACACACACAGATACAAACTGGCACACGCACATAGATACACACAAAGTCTGCCACACAGATACGCATAAAGTCTGCCACACAGTGATACAAACTTGCACGTGCAAACAGATATGCACAAACTCTGCCACACACTGATACAAACTTTCACACACAGATATGCACAAACTCTGCCACTCACAGATACACACACACATATACGCACAAAGTCTACCACACACTGATACACACTGACACAGGCACATAGATACGCACAAAGTCTGACACACACAGATACAAACTGGCACACGCACATAGATACACACAAAGTCTGCCACACTGATACAAACTGGCACACGCACACAGATGCGCTCAATGTCTGCCACACACTGGTACACACTGACACAGGCACACAGATACGCACAAAGTCTGCCACACAGTGATACAAACTGGCACACGCAAACATATATGCACAAACTCTGCCACACACTGATACACACACACATATATGCACAAAGTCTACCACACACTGATACACACTGACACAGGCACACAGATACGCACAAAGTCTGACACACAGATACAAACTGGCACATAGATACACACAAAGTCTGCCATACTGATACAAACTGGCACATGCACACAGATGCACACAAAGTCTGCCACACACTGGTACACACTGACACAGGCACACAGATACACACAAAGTCTGCCACACAGTGATACAAACTGGCACGCGCAAACAGATATGCACAAACTCTGCCACACACTGACACACACTGTCACACACACACAGATACGCGCTGACACACACACAGATACACACAAACACTTTGAAACACACAAAGATACATACACCCATGGGCGTCCGCAGGGAGGGGCAAAATCCCCCTGGATTTTTCAGCTTGTTCTGATATTTTTCGTGTGAAATTTAAAATGAACTGCAATACCGGCGCTGGCCAGTAGGAATGGAGAGAGACAGGGATAGGAAGCTGCATTTTATCCCTGCTTCTCTGCTGATTGAAACCGCAGGGGAGCAACACATGCAGCCAGAGACAGCCTACAGACCAGGTAAGTGAGGGATGGGGGGAGGGTTTGAGATAGCCTGTAGATTAGGGGAGTGAGGGGGGGGCAGCAGCCTATAGATTAGGGGAGTGAGGGGCAGCAGCCTGGATTAGGGAGTTAGGCAGGGAGTGAGGGGGCAGCCTGGGAGTGAGGCAGCAGCCCTAGGGAGCAGATTAGGAGAGGAGGGGGGGACACAGCCTATAGATTAGGGGAGGAGGAGGGGGGGCAGTCTATAGATTAGAGTGAGGGAGAGATTAGGAGAGTGACGGGGCATCCTATAGATTAGGAGTGAGGCTGGGGGCAGCAGCCTATAGATTAGGGGAGGAGGGGGGCAGTCTATAGATTAGGGGAGTGAGGGGGGGCAGTCTATAGACTAGGGGAGTGAGGCTGGGGGGCATCCTATAGATTAGTGGAGTGAGGCTGGGGGGGCAGCAGCCTATAGATTAGGGAAGTGAGCATAGGCGTGCGCAGCCTATTGCATTAGGGTGTGCACCCTAAAGCACAAACACATGCCATGTGTATATGTATGTGTGTGTGTATATATATATATATATATATATATATATATACACACACACTGCTGTGTGTGTGTGTGTGTGTGAGGGTGCTGTTTGTGTGCTGTGTGTGAGGGAAATGGTAGTGTGCTGTGTGTGTGTGTGTGTGTGTGAGAGGGTGTTGTTTGTGTGCTGTGTGTGAGGGAACTGGTAGTGTGCTGTGTGTGTGTGTGTGTGAGAGGGTGTTTGTGTGCGTGTTTGTCTGGGTCCTGTTAGTGTGCTGTTTGTGTGCTGTTTGTGGGTGTTGTGTGTTTGTCAGGGTGCTGTTTGTGTGTGAGTGTGCTGTTTGTGTGTGGGTGCTGTGCGGGTGTTTTGTGTGGGTTTTGTGGGTTTGTGAGGATGCTGTTAGTGTGCTGGGTGTGTGTGGGTGTTGTATGTGTGTGGGTGCTGTGTGTGCGAGGGTGATGTATGTGTGTGGGTGCTGTTTGTGGGCTGTGTGTGCTGTATGTAGGTGCTGTGTGTGCTGTATGTTTGGGTGGAGGTGGGGGCAAATTAGTTAATATCCCAGTCCTGCTGCCTTCCCTGGTGGTTCAGTGGAGAGTGAACTCTAGCCCGGGTTCTCTGCTGCCTCCCTCCATGCTGCTGTGGACCGGTGAGGTAGAACTTTGATCTCCCCACCGGCTCATGGAGGCTTAGACCAGAGCCGCCACTCTGATAGCGTCGGCTCTGCATGAGCCGACTGGGGAGATCCAGAGATCTCCCCTGCCGGTCTCAATCCATTGGTGTGCCGCGGGGATTAGGGTGTGCCTAGGCACACCCGACACACCTCGTGCGCATGCCTATGGAAGTGAGGGATGGGGAAGACAGCCTACATGAAGAGTCAGCAAGGAGCAGGAAGGTAAAGTAAGAAAAGGAGAAGGAACAGAAATGAGCAGGAAGGGACATCAAGGAGCAGAAAGGGGCAGCAAGGAGCTGGAAGGGGCAGCAAGGAGCACAAAAGGTAAAGTAGGAGAAGGAGCACAAAGGAACAGAAATGAACAGGAAGGGTCAGCAAGGAGCTGGAAGGTAAAGCAGCACAAAGGTAAAGTAGAAGGAGCAGAAAGGGCAGAAATGAGCTGGAAGGGGAAGAAGGAGCACAAAGGTAAAATAGGAGAATGAGCAGGAAGGGCCTGCAATGGAGCAGGAAGGAGCACAAAGGTAAAGGAGCAGAAAGAATAAGAAGGAGCACAAAGGTAAAGTAGAAAAGGGAGCAGAAAGGGTCTGCAAGGAGCAGAAAGGGAAATGAGAATCAGAATGAGAAAGTAGCAGAAGGGCCCTAAATAAGCAGAAAGTAGCAGAAAGGTGAAAGAGCAGAAGGTGCCAAGGATAGAAAACAGTGTCAGAAGAAAAAAAAAGACTGTCAAATGAAGGAGAGGAAAAAGAGATTGGAGCAGGAAGGACAAATGAAGTGAACCCTCCACTTTATACTGGATACCACATCATAAGGCTTTGGTACCTGGGCCAGGCAGGGAAATGCTGGACCTTCTCATCTCCAAAGGTAAAAAACTACCAGTATTAATGTGTTCACTTTTATTTACTGAGTGTCAGCAAGCACAGAGTGCCGTTGGGTAGGGGTGTTGCTGATTGGCTAGAGCGGTCAGCTGGCACTCTAAGCCAATCAGTAGCTCCCCATTCATAAAAAAGTAAAAATATTTTATGAACCGGGAACTAGCGATTGGCTTAGAGCAGTGATGGCGAACCTTTTTGAGCCCGAGTGCCCAAACCGCAATACATGCCAACTTTTTTTCTCCTTAAAGTGCCAACACGGCAATTAAACCCAAATACTGAGGTTTAAGTTTAGAAAAAACAACTCGTACTGTTGTCCGAACTAATAACTTTTGTTTTAAAAGAACACAGAGAGTTCAATGATACAAATTTTAAATAATGATATAAATAGATAAAATTAAGCTTATATTTATTAGTATCTCCAACAAATGCAATACATACACACACAGACTGCTGAATACACACACACACACACACAAGACTGCTGAATACAGAGACTGATGAATACACACACACACAGAGACTGCTGAGTACACACACACACACAGACTGCGGAGTACACACACACACAGACTGCGGAGTACACACACACACACAGACTGCTGAGTACACACACACACAGACTGCTGAGTACACACACAGACTGCTGAGTACACACACACACACAGACTGCTGAGTACACACACACAGACTGCTGAGTACACACACACACAGACTGCTGAGTACACACACACAGTCCGCTGAGTACACGCAAACAGTCCGCTGAGTACACGCAAACACACACAGACTGCTGAATACACGCACACACACACACACACACACTGTTGAATACACACATACTGCATTGAGGTGGGGGGTGCTGTGTGTGTGTGTGTGTGGGGGGGGTGCTGTGTGTGTGTGTGTTGTATGTGTAAGGGTGCTGCGGGGGGTATGGGTACTGTGTGTGGGGGGTAGGGGTACTGCTGGGGGTAGGGTACCGCTGGAGTGGTAGGGGTAATGTGTGTGTGGGGGTAAGGGCACCAGTTGGGGGTAGGGGTACTGTGTGGGTTAGGGTACCGCTGTGGGGGTAGGGGTACCTGTGTGTGGGGGTAGGGGTACCTGGGGGTAGGGGCATTGCTGGGGGTGGGGGTACTGCTGTGGGGGTAGGGTACTGCTGTGGGTAGGGTACGCTGGGGGGTAGGGTACCGCTGGGGGGGTAGGGTACTGTGTGTGGGGGGTAGGGGGTACTGGGGTAGGGGTACTGCTGGGGGTAGGGGTACTGGGGGTGTGTGGGGGTAGGAGTACTGCTGTGGGGGTAGGGTACCGTGTGGGGGTAGGGGTACTGTGTGTGGGGTAGGGGTACTGCTGTGGGGGTAGGGGTACTGCTGGGGGTAGGGTACTGTGTGGGGGTAGGGGTACTGCTGGGGGGTAGGGGTACTGCTGGGGGGGATAGGGGTACTTCTGGAGGGGTAAGGGTGCTATGTGTCAGTATACCCCCCCCCCTCCTCCTTCTTACCTTTAATCCCTGGTGGTCCGGTGGTGGTAAGCACTGCAAGGGGAGGGCTCTAGGAAGCAGCTCCCCTGTTCTCCCGCGCGATGCTGTGTGGAGCGTTGCCATGGTAATACGCGGCAACGCTACACACAGCATCGCGCGGGAGGACAGGGGAGATGCTTCCTAGAGCCCTCCCCCTGCCTCCCGACCCGGAAGCAGAGTAGGCGCCTGCCGTTTCGGGCAGGCAGGCAGGCGCCTACTCTGCAGTGATGGCGAACCTGTGGCCGCGTGCCCGCAGAAAGGGCCCGGCATGCCACCTGTGGTACGCGTGCCATAGGTTCGCCATCACTGGCTTAGAGCGTCAACTGTCCACTCTAGCCAATCAGCGGCACCCATGCCTGACGTAAATCTGCACTTCCCGTTTCAGAAGCCAAATACCACTGAGTGACCTGGAGCTGGAGGAAGCCTTTGGGGTTAAACCATTTGAGAGCGATTTAACCCCTTAAAGGAAAGCGAGCACCCAGGGGCTTCCTGGCATCATAGCATTTTCATTTAGGTGAAGTTGTTATGGTGACCAGAATGGTCCTTTAATTTGCTTAAAGGAACACTATAGTGTCAGGAATACAAACATATATTCCTGACACCATAGTTGTGAAAACGCTATTCACCCTGGCTTTATGTGATAATGGCTATGCCCCTTCCCTTTCATGACACTGTCAAAAAGGTACCAAGCATGGATGTCATTACAATTATGCCCCCCTCTGGAAAAATTCCTGCGGACGCCCATGCATACACCCTGCCACATACACACAAATACGCCACACACACATAGCCATACACAGATACATACTGCCACAAACTTACTGCATGGGAGGAAAGTGTATCTATGTGCTACTTCCCTCTGTTGCAAAACTTTGTGCAGCTGAGTCTGCCTGCTTCCAGTATAGAGCCTTCTCAAACTGACACCCTACAAATATTGCGTGTTAATTGTGTGATTTTATAATGGTGCTCTGTTTATAATGGGGCCACTATAATCTCACTAATATTGGATACTAAGGCTAAGAGGACTATCCATGTTAGTTCTGTTAGAATATGCATGAGGCGAATAGGAAGTTCTTTGTTGTACTCATTTGCATATGCCCACCCAGAATCCCTTGCAGTAGTAACAGCACTTCAAATGTGAGATTTCAGTGGGAAATGCAAGTCTTATGGTTTGACTGATGTGTGCAGATCTTTGTTTACAGGGATACTATAAGTGCCAGGAATTAATGTGCGTGGTCTGACAGGCGACCTGAATGGCCGCTTGAGCTGAGAGCTCCCGCTCATCCACTGTAATACAGCACCTGCCAACTGCATCTCATCCTGTTCCACTCACCAAAAGAGCGTAACCAAGGCACAATGGCCTCTGGAACAAAACTGGACCGACAAAAGAGAGGTGACAGAAGAGATACCAACCTTTCTGTGGCAGACTTGTTCACCGCCTTGCGCACCACACAGGCCACACAAGATGGCCACCAACAAAGCCCGCGCGGCTCACTCTTCCCAACATCAAACATTGACAGCGAGCCACCAGACTTCCAGCTGGGAGACAGTTCACACATATTCTCCAAACTGCTGGAGGTGCGGAATTACCGAGTGGGGGAAATAGCCAAAAGCTCACAAGTGATAAAGGCCGAAATATAAACTCTGGGCTGTCGCACTTCCGACTTGGAGAATCGAGTTTAAGAAGTAGTGGAAGCCCATAACGAGGTAGTGTCCCACTCACAGGCTATTGCACAGCAGGTCACCGATCTGAAGATGATAGTGGAGGACCTGGCTAATAGGTCCAGACGCAACAACATACAAGTGCTGGGACTACCAGAATCACCTAATGAGGTCTCACTGGTTGAGAAAATGGGACACCATTTCCAGCACCTGCTGACAGAAATACCCGGGGATAGATGGGTCATTGATCGTGCACAGACGGCACTACAGTCCAGAAGAGCAGAGGGCACTGTACCACGAGACATCATTGTAAGATTTCACTTCTATTCCACTAAATAAGCCATTATGAAATATAGCAGAGAGCACAAGCTGACTTATCAGGGCACCGTCCTCTCCCTCTTCCAAAACTTATCCCCAACGACTCTACAGAGACGGAGAGGCTGGAGACCTGTCTCGGACCTCCTGCGACAACATAACATCCACTACACATGAGGGCACCCCTTTAAACTAGTAGCCCTCAAGGACGGAAAAACTTCTACACTATTGCCAGAAACGGACGCGGGACCATTACTCACCAGCTTGGGAGTCACCCCTGCACCGGACTTTGCGTTGCCAAGAGCGCACAAACGCACCCTCACTGCCCTCCAACGATACTGGTCCAGAGCTGGGGAGTTGCCACAACACTGAGCCTAAGGGGCGAATGGCAATCCACAAACTATTCAAGGAATCACCTTTCAAGGACATTGATAAGCCTGGTTATGCAGCAGGAGAGATAAGTCGACAACGAAGACACCCTATAAATGTTGCAAACACCTTTATTGTATAAAAGGGGTATAAACACTGCTTGGGAATAATAAGGAAGGACCCCAAGCATAAGCCACAGACTATCGGCATGCCACTTATGTACATAATTCACCTCCCTGGGGCACCCACGTCACAACTACAGCCACCCTGCATATATAATGCCATCCTATAACGAGGGCACCTGTGGTTGACACGTGTGGAGCCATCAGTAACCACGCTGGGGTGATGGGGGTGGGAGGGATTGGGGGAATATTGATTTGGCTTTCCAGCCCAAGTAGCGCAACACAGATGGCTAATGGGGGAAGGACCCGCCTGCCTCACACTAAGGAAAGCACCCAGAGAGGTACAGCCATACCGAGGAGATTTTTTAGAGATGTTATTTGTTACCACAAAGGTCTAGCTCCACTGCAGTAACACTCCACTGGTTGGAACTGCAAATGGGGGGCAGACTGGTTAAGAAACGTGTGGCAGGGCCCAGTGGCTTGAGGGGGTTCATCTCCGGGGGCGGTGGTGATAATGGAGCTCCCGAGCGCAATCTCACTTCTACGGGTAGCAGACTGGAGGCACACACAATTAAGCTGGGAGGTACCCCAAACTACCAGTCAGATACCTAACCAAGACAGGGTCGTACCCCTCCTCCACAAAAGCTATCGCACCTGAAAGGCAACCCTATCAGGGGAAAGAAGCGGACCGAATGCATGTCATCGTCCCCCCCACCCAGCTGTGTGCCCAGAGGGCCACGGCCTAAAACGAAGAACACAAGTTTAAGGGACAAATGTGATGCAGATACATTTGAGGTTTACACCTTAATGCACAGTGGAATGGGGTGGGGCTGTGCCACCCTAGGGTGAGAATGATATGTTGTCCCTAATGGGGGGAGGGGGAGCATCCACCCCCATATCGCTCTGGCAAAATGTAAGACCAAACTACATTGTTATTATATGTTAAGTTTATTTTATGTCACGTTTTATTTGTTGTTCCGAATGGCAATACACAAAGACGGGGACTACCCTACCACACTCAGGTCTCAGAGACCATATCTCTCACTGCACAGACTATACAAGCCCAAACTACTAAGAACGGAAAAATACCCACACCACATATCCGCCCAAGTATGGAGCTGAAGATCATATCACTCAATGTCAAGGGTCTAAATACCCCAAATAAACATAGGTTCCACATGGATTTAAAGGCTAAGAAGGCCGACATCGCTCTAGTTCAGGAAACAAACTTTCCCACGTCGGCCTCAGTCAGGATGACAGACAGGATATATACTACCGCCTATGAAGCTAGAACTCTGCGCAAACATGCAGGAGTAGCCATATTAGTCCATAAGTGCTGCCCCCTAACAATTTTCCACAGTCAAACAGACCCAGAGGGGCGATACATAGCAATTACGGGCACCCTAAACAACACAACACAAAAACAGGCATCATCAATGTATACGCCCCTAATGAGCCAGATGTCTCGTTCTGGGCATCACTAGAAACATTAACTACTAATAGTGGCGGTAGAGTACCCATTGTGGGGGGAGATTTTAATGCGGTACCGAACCGGCGCTAGATCGGAGCACCAAACCAGGGACCGTCAGGTCGCAGGGTAGGGTGGGACAGGACAAACTATTACACAACTACTTGACACGTACAGGCGTACGTACTAGACACATGGAGACTAAACCACCCTAGCACCAAAGACTACACTCTTTACTCCGCCCCACATGACACTTTCGAATCGTCAACTTCTTCTTAAATGGCACGGGAATGCATAAGGTTTTACACACAGAGATAAATAGCATAAAATGGTCCAATCACACAGATATCGCGGTTACACGCGCAAAATGCAATGCAGCTCAAACTGGTCATGGAGATTGAACGCCAACCTTTTGAAGAATGAGGAAATCCTCATTTCAACTAAAGAAGCCATCACTACCTATTTCACACAACATGAAAACGCCGACATGAATCCCACAATGGTTTGGGCAGCCCACAAGACAGTCATTAGAAGCCACCTTGTAAAACTAGCTACCTATAAAAAGCAATAAAAAAACAAACCTTTTATTATAGCTACAATCAGCCCTAAGAAAGGCTGAACTACAACATGAAGTGAACCCAACTAATGCTAAAGCTAACAAACTAAATACCCTATGCCATTCTATCAAGGAATTATCACTCGAAGAGGTAGCCCGCTCACTGCAGTATTCGAGGCATCTCTACTATGAGAAAGCTAACACAATGGACACTCTACCAGCTAGAACACTTCGGTCTAGGACAGGGAGAAAACCGATTACAAAACTACACACTGCATCCGGTGAGCTGGTCACCACACCTGTGAACATCAACAAAGTGTTCACATACTATTTCACCACACTGTATAACCACTCCCCACAACATACCACAGATAATGTAGAATATACCACACAAATAAACTCTTTCCTCTCCACTCTGACTTGGTCGAAGCTAACAGAGGAAGAGGCAGACGCCATACGGGCACCAATCACCACAGAGGAGGTAGAAAACGCCATAGTGACCCTCAAAGGCAACAAAGCACCAGGTCCAGATGGGTACGACATGGGCTACTACAAATGACTCAAAGAGGTACTCACTTCATACATATTAACCCTATGCAATCACTTCATGCAAGGAGGGGTACCGGATGCTGACATGGCCACAGCCAATATTATACTACTTTCCGATAAAGACCCCACAAGAGCATGCAACTACAGACCCATATCTTTTATTAACTCAGATCTAAAACTATTTGCCAAAATTTTAGCGATCAGACTTACACCATTACTAACAAAACTGATACACCCATACACCCGGACCAGGTGGAGTTAACGATGAATAGGCAACTCTATGATAAGTGCCACGAATACAAAGCAGTACTATAGCTCCCTTTGCGTGTGCCCTCCCCCCCCATCCCACCCCACAGTTGGTGAATAAAGGTTGAGAAACCCTTCATTTACTTACCTTACCTTACCCTGCTCCACCTCCTCTGAATCAATGCCGTCCTACGGAGAAAAATATGACACTGGATGTCCTCATGCAAAGCGTGAGGACATCCAACATCAGTTACCGGGCCAAAGGTCCGTTTCAATCCAGTAAGCGCCCTTCAGTGACTGGGATACAGCCACTGAGGGAAGACTTAGTGCTGCAATTTAAACATTGCAGTATCTCTGGAACTGCAATTTTTTACATTGCATCACCAAGTGCAATAGAGACTCTGTACACAGACCGCTTCAATTAGCTGAAGTAGTCTGGTTGCCTATAGTGTCCCTTTAACAATGTATTTACAAGCCACTCTAGAAGAAATACAAACTACAGCCCTGTTCTTAGCATTCCATGGTGTCTCCTTTGTCAACGATAGGATTTCATATGGAATGTCCTGCTGCAGAGACGGTCATAGCATAGGGAGCACAGCTTTAACCCAAGTTTCAATGACATGCAGCATTATAGAAAAGGCTGTCTCTCTAATAAAGTATCAATATCATGACACTCTGAGTAAACTTACAAATGAAAACAGTTTGGTTTCCGAGATACAGCAATGTTTACCTATTATGGTACCCACTCCTACCAGCGGCTTCGGACACAAAGAGAGTCATTAATTGACATCTGTTATGAGGCTATCCTAATTATGTGGAAAAGACTTATAGTCACCTCGCTGTGGCTCTTGCCTTCCTCTAACAAACACAACCAAACCAAGCACCCTGAATTCCAACCACATGGTAGCCTATCTATGCAGGTTAGTTCCTTCGCATCCGAGGCCGGTCAAACCTTTAACTGGATGGCGATCCAACATCCTACAGACAATCATGGTGCTATTTAAACTGTATACAGCTGATGGATTACGCTATCCAGGAATACCTGATCTTTAGGTATTCCTGGTGGAGAAATGTATGGGAGAAATGTATGATCTTTAGGTATTCCTGGTGGAGAAATGTATGGGATTTTTTTTGTTTCATTCCAAGCCATTTGGATTTTTGGATGCTTACGAAGTCCTGAAGTTCGGAAGTGACGAAGTTTGGAAGTGAAGGAGTTCGGAAGTGCCGAAGCTCTGAAGTGCCGAAGTGATTCGGATTTCTAAAAAGTGGCAAAGCAAGAGAAAAGAGGGCAAATTACGTGAATAATGACAGGAATCCTGACCAATAAGCTAATTCCTTCTGTGCAATGACATCCTATCCTGTACGCGTCACATCGCGGCTGCCAGCGGACTCTAAAAGACGTGCGAGGGAGCTGTGTTGCCAGAGCACAGTAAGTACTGTGCTCCCTCTCTGTCTGGCATAGGATGTTATTCCCATGCAGTCTCTACTGCACATGATCGGACAAACATCCTTAGCCAATTATTATAGGATATATAAAGTATAAATGTGCAATTCGTTTCATTCCGAATGTACATTTGTGCGATTTTCATGCCATTTGGACATTCAGTACTTATGTCCGAAGTTCTGAAGTGACGAAGTTCGTCAGTTCCGAAGTGCTGAAACAAACCGAATGCCATTGGTCCGAATAGCCGAAGCAGACACGTTTTCTCACTTACCTGAATTTCTGAACCGAACAGAATTTTTTGCCCATGCACATCCCTACCATTTGTGTTTTAACTCACCATTTTAATAGCAACATTTTAAATGGATTGTGCTTTGTCCTACCCCTCCCAGCTTTTTAAATCACACTAATAATTATAAAGTCTGCAACAAACAAAAAACTCAATGGCAAAATTTAGGATAAAACAACCCAGGCTATGAATATAGCTAAATCTGAGAATTTTTTGTTTACATTTTTGGATTTCAGTTTGCTGCAATTCTGAGTAAAATGAATAGAAAATCTGCTTTGGGACTGTTAAACGTGCTTAGTACACCTTCTAAAAGAAAAAATGTGGTTTTTTTTGTTTGCAGAAAAAGAGATCGGAAAAATGCATACACTCTTCCCCTACCAAAAAATTAATGTGAGTACATGTAATTATGTGAGCGCCTGTAGGATGTGCACAATCATATCGAACTCCGATGCTTAATGGTCCATGCGTTTGCTCTGCAAGGAATTGATTTCTTAGCATTGGCCTGTTTTTTTTCTATCCCGCACACAGGCAGAGAATGGTTTTATCAATAGCAGCAATAGGGTTAATTGTTTTAGTTTTCCTGCTCTCTTCCAAAAGGGGAGGAGCGGCTGGAGCCAGCATTTTACTGTCTGTGTAAAGCTTGAGTCATCCTATTAGGCTGGGCAGTGTTTGCAGCTGCATGCTGTCGACTGACTGAGAAGCAACTTGCTGCTACGTCTACCTACGATGTACAGAGAGACACCCAGAAGCCTTGGGTCATCAGTGAAGATGAGCGAGAACATGCACACATCATTCTGAATGAATATTTCTGCTTGTGAACCGTGGTGTGACTCTGGCTGGTTTAAAGCTGCGACAAAAAGACAAGTCTTCAATGCATTGAGGCCACAGAGCTATCACATTATCCCTCCTGTCCATTTGCAAACAAGGCCTGTTGGCTTACACGACTCGGAGAATCTGCTTTTATAGAGCCTTTTCTCTGCAGGAAAGACTTAGAGCAAATCCTGTATCGCTAAACACTGCAGGTTGCATATATTCGGGGGAAAAAAATGCTTTGAATAGACCGATTCTCATGTTTGCTCTTATATTTAAATTTTTTTTTTAAATATAGCAATATAATTCTTAAACATTGTGGAACGAAGATCTTGCCAACTTTCCCCATCTTAGAATTTTATTTTTTCATGGTTACTGCTGACCGTCTTTGAAAAAGAGACAAAATTTCTTGAAAAGTTGACCTTGTAGTTTTCATGTTTTGCATGCCATAAAAAAAAAAAAAAAAAAAAAGGTTGACAAAAGCAAAATTCCGGTATTGAACTTTTCTGCTGGTTAAATTGTTAGAAGGATTTGGAATCCGAATTTTAAGGTCTACCTGTTTCCAAGGGTTTCGGGAGAGGGGTATTATTGTGAAATTAAGGTCTCGCTCAAACTTCATCATGAGCCGTTCCACTACAACGCCCCCTTTGCCCATCAAAGAAGGTGACCTGGAGAAGCGAAGTGATAGTTTTCTTCAGCTATGGAAGAAGAGAAGATGTGTGTTGACCGCTGATGGTCTACATTTATATACAGACCCTCGAAAAAAAGGCAAGGCCAAGGTGTTGCGATTTGACTCTTTAGCCAAACTGGAATGCGTGGAGAGGAAAGGAGAGCGTGTCTACTTTACTCTAGTGACAATGGACGGGCAAGAGATAGACTTCCGTTGTAGGGAGCGCAGTCGCTGGAATGCAGAGATCACTTTAGCTTTGGTGGGCTTTCAAAATCGAAAAGCTGTGCAAGAACTCAGGGCAAGAAAGGAGAGTCAGTCACGAGAACTGGGAGAACGTTTAAGAAGTTGGGGTCTGTGATTTTTTTTCTCCACAATTGATGTTACGGTAAGGGAAAGTTCTTGTCATTCTTGTTAATGCGCACAAAGCACCATAACTAAAACAATATTCATTTAATTTACCCAAATATAAATGTTGGTTCATGTAACAACTTTTAACGATTGTCCGACTGTTTCTGTATTTGTCCCACCCAAATGCAAACCTTTCCACAATTAACCTCTGATTTTTAAAATGGAGGTTATAGAGAAAGAGAAATTGCAGAAAAGTTCTAAGTGTGGACCAGTTAGCAGAAGCATTGTCTTGGTTTCCATGGAGTTTGTTCCACAATTAGAACTTCACCAGAAACCTGTATTAACACTGCAGCCATTGTGATTATACTTAGTCATTACACTATGTCATTTTCAAACCACTATCAAGAATAAGACAATACATTTCTCACAGTAGGTGAGTGTGGCTTGTAAGGAAGCCTCTCGACTGGTAGGCAGTGCTGTCAAAACCTTCTCCATCAATTCGTCTCAGTCCGTTTAAAGTTTAATAGCCTTTACTTACTGTGTTTAACCCCACAGAGATTGTTGGTGCCATATAAATAAATTATGATAATCATAGATGTGTTTCTTTTGAGAACAGGCATTGTTCACTGAGATTTTATGATAGCAAAAAAAAAGCACAGGCTCTATGTAATTGGTTTTTAGAAAGCTTTAAATTTAGGAGTGAAGAGATAATTAGCCATTTTTCTGGAAAAGAGAAAGAAAAAAAGTTTGCATATCCAAACACTCTGTATATCATAAATGCAAATACTGCCACTTCTTATATATATTCTTGAACTGTGTTGCGTCTGCTTTGACTATATTATTTTTTTATTAGGATAGTTTACCCACATAGGTTTTGTTTTGTCTTATATAATTGAAATATACTCCGGATTGTATATCTGGATATTTTGCATGGACGCTTCCCCCCGTTCCCCATTCCATGATGATATCCCTGCTTGGGGTGAAGATGAACGCAAATATACTTACCTAAAGCTCTAGCTTGGCACCTTTGCTCACCCTTGCAGGTGTTGCCATCTTATTTCTGTAGCTCTTGGCACTTTATGTGCCAGAAACCGGTGTCAATGCTATATTCTTGTGCATGCGCAAAATTCTCCATAATCTAACACCATCGATCTTTCATAGACCAACTCTCGCGATATGTGTGCAAAACATGACTGTTTTCCACAGCCATCACTAACAACGTTTGTCAGGGTTTGTCGACTTAACACTTGTACATAACGCAAATTAGTCTCTACTTTGTCTTATAGTGTCTTTTGATTGTATTGGAATTTCAATGATGTTCCAATGTACTCAAAATTAGTATTTTATAAAATAAATTATATTGCTGTGACAAAACTGCCTATTGACTGCTAGTACTCAGTTTGGGGCAAAGAGGGATGATGCATGATGATGCTGAGCCCTTTTTTTTTTTTTTGAGGTGCATTAGTTCTGGGGCCCCTCTTTCATGGACTCTCTCAAAGACGATTTCTATGATGCACATAGTATAAATTTAAGTTTTACATACCTTAAAGGACCACTCTAGGCACCCAGACCACTTCAGCTTAATGAAGTGGTCTGGGTGCCAGGTCCAGCTAGGGTTAACCCATTTTTTCATAAACATAGCGGTTTCAGAGAAACTGCTATGCTTATGAATGGGTTAAGCCTTCCCCTATTTCCTCTAGTGGCTGTCTCATTGACAGCCGCTAGAGGCGCTTGCGTGCTTCTCACTGTGATTTTCACAGTGAGAGCACGCCAGCATACATAGGAAAGCATTGTAAATGCTTTCCTATGTGACCGGCTGAATGCGCGCGCAGCTCTTGCCGCGCGTGCGCATTCAGCCAACGGGTAGGAGAAGAGGAGGATCGGAGGAGGAGAGCTCTCCGCCCAGCGCTGGAAAAAGGTAAGTTTTAACCCCTTTCCAGAGCCGGGCGGGAGGGGGACCCTGAGGGTGGGGGCACCCTCAGGGCACTATAGTGGTCCTTTAAGATGCATCCCTTGTCCAAATACTGTAAAATGAAAGCCAATTTCCCTATAAGTAACTGACGTATTACAGCAGAAGTTATTTCTTTGGATCGAATAGAACGATCATCACCTTAAACAAACGTTGTTTTGGAGTCTTCTTACATTTAGCTAATGGTGGTCCGCCCCTCCCTGTGATTAAAGAGATAAACACCCCTTTTTCACTTACCTCTTTCCAGCAACGAGGTCCCGTGGCGCTGACTCCATCTCGACCCCCTATGGCATCAGTGCAGTGGGGGGCCCTAATGTGCAGCAAGCACTGGGCATGCATAAGGCCTTACTCATAGGAAAGCATTAATTCAATGGTTTCATTTTGGAGATATAAAGATGCTGGACGTGCTCAGGCAAATCCTCACATATATTGATTTTTTTTCCCCTTAAAAGTATATCTACTTTAAAATAAAATTTAGAATAAAAAGAACTTAACTATATATGTATATATTAAAATTAAAAACGACCATATACCCTTAGAGGCTCTGTGAAACAAGTGAAATATTGTGAATAAACCCACTGTGAGGAACTGACTCTGCTGGGTTTCGAACCCTGGTTTACATGGTGCTAAACCTTTTCATTACCAGTACACCAGCCTGCCTTTTGCAAATTTACCTGAGATCTGATACCATTGCTTGTAGAGTCAAGGTTATCAGTGACAACTCACTTCAGCTGTGTCTAGTCAGGTGTCTGGTTCTTGGCCTATAAAAGCCACTTCCTGTCTCTTTACCTTTGCCAGATTATTGTGGTTCCTGTACTCTCTAATCCAGCGTGTTCCTGTTTCTCCTTCCTGTTGCTGAATTTGGACTGTTTTGACTTTGCTGCTTCTCCTTCCCACTGACCTCGGCTTGCCTCACTACGATTATCATCTTTCTGTTCCAGTCTCCCATCTCTGCTTAAGACCAGAAGGCCACTCAAGGCTCAGGGGCTCAACCACCTGGGTAACGAGTGGCTACCTCTGGCAGAAAACATTGCTGATCTGGCTACTGGACTCCAAAACTTTGTAACATCAATATCATTACAGAATAATCTGGCCCATTCATGGAGACCGTCGGATCAGATTCTGCATTGGCCCAGCAGGTTGCTTTTAATGCAAGAACTATGCAGACCCAGGCACAGACCATTCAAGTGCTGCAGGATCAGGTAGCTGAACTGCAAAATGAAGTTCGATCAATGCATAGTGAGCTTACCAGCTACAGGGCACATGATGTTGCGGCTGCTGCTACTACTACTGTTACACCTGCACAAGATGCCCGCTTGCCTCTACCAGAAAAATTTGGAGGAGACCGCAAAAAATTCAGGGGTTTCCTAAATCAATGCCGTTTGCATTTCATGATGTTACCTAACCGTTTTCCATCTGAAAGAGAGAAGGTGGGATTTATTTTTTCCCTCTTCAAAGATGAAGCCCTGGCCTGGGGCTCCCCTTTTCTGGAACAGGACAGTCCAATCTTGGGAAATTTAAAAGACTTTCTTGAGGCCATGTGCCTAGTTTTTGATGATCCCAATCGCTGTGCTACAGCAGAAGCCACTCTCCTTCATTTACATCAAGGGAGGCGCTCTGTGGCTGAATATGCTGCTGAATTCAGACAGTGGGTTACTGATACTACTTGGAACCAATCAGCCCAGAGGTTCCACTTCAGAAGGGGTCTCTCAGAAGCTATAAAAGATGAGCTAGCTCGTGTTGATCTTCCTGTTGAGTTTGATGCATTTGTGCGGTTGGCTATCCGTATTGATCGGAGACTTTCAGAAAGAAGATTGGAAAGACAGGGCTCTTTTAAACCAAGTGCTACTCCTACTTTCTATTCAAGAATTTCTACTCCGACCCCACAAACACCTACAGACTCTGAACCTGAGGCTATGCAAGTAGATCTAATAAGAGGGCCATTATCCAATGAAGAAAAACAGTGGCGACGCACTCACAACTTATGCTTGTATTGTGGTAGTGCAGGGCATTATGCCATCAAGTGCCCTAACAAGTCTAAAAGAACAATAGCTATGACTGCTGAGGGTGCACAGATTCAACACCAATCCCAGATTTCAGACCAACTGGATTCTGTCACACAACCCTTGTTTTCTCTGGCTCAGGGTGAAGAAGGTATGATGACTCAACATCCTCATTTGGTGGTGCCTATCACTTTGCAATATGGTAATAATACAATTTCAACTACAGCTATGATAGATTCCGGAGCAGGAGGAAACTTTATGGACATTAAATTTGCAGCAGGAAATAAAATTCAGTCTATCCCTAAATCTTCACCTGTGTTAATGGAAACAGTAGACGGTTCTCCACTTACGTCAGGCCCGGTTACACATGAGACTGTGCCCTTAAAATTGATTCTGGAAGTGAATCACCATGAGTCTATATCTTTCCACCTAATTTCCTCAACACAGTTTCCAGTGATTTTGGGTATACCCTGGCTTGCTCTGCATAACCCACAGATTGATTGGAAGACTAGAACTTTGTCCTTTCCTTCAGAACACTGCTTAATGAATTGTCAACCCTCTAAGGCGACACCTGTTACCACAACAATTAATGAAATGGTTGCTACAAACTTAACTAAGCTTCCGCTACAATATCAGGATTTTGCAGATGTCTGTGATAAGAAGAATGCTGATCAGCTTCCACCTCACAGGCCTTATGATTGCCCCATAGAGCTGCTACCTGGAGCTGCTATCCCATTTGGCCGTATATACTCCCTTTCTGAGCCTGAATTGAAAGCACTTCGTGAATACATACAAGAAAATCTTGCCAAAGGCTTTATTCGACCATCCACTTCTCCAGCAGGAGCTCCTATATTCTTTGTAGAAAAGAAAGATGGCAGTCTACGGCCATGTGTCGATTACAGGGACATTAATAAAATCACTGTTAAAAACCGTTATCCCTTGCCTCTCATTCCTGAACTTCTGGAGAGACTTCGTTCAGCTAAAATATTTACGAAGCTTGATCTACGGGGGGCATATAATCTGGTTCGCATAAGACCAAATGATGAATGGAAAACAGCTTTCAGAACCAGGTACGGACATTACGAATATCTAGTAATGCCATTTGGGCTTTGTAATGCCCCTGCAACTTTTCAGCATCTAATCAATGATGTACTACGGGATCTCCTGGATCAGTTTGTTGTGGCATATTTGGATGATATCCTGATATTTTCTGATAATCTTGAAAATCACAGAAAACAGGTCTGCATTGTTCTTGAGCGCCTTCGTACCCACCACCTATACATTAAACTGGAAAAATGTGAGTTTGAACAAACAGAAATTCAGTTCCTGGGGTATGTAATAACTCCTAAAGGTTTAAGTATGGACGCAAGTAAAATTAAAGCTGTGCTGGACTGGCCCATCCCCAAGAATGAAAAAGATATACAGAGATTTGTGGGGTTTGCCAATTTTTACAGGCGTTTCATTAAGAATTTCTCTGCCGTTATTACACCGATCACTGAACTTACACGTAAAGGGACTCCTTTTCAGTGGTCCAATAAGGCTGACACTGCATTTTCCAGATTAAAGACTCTGTTTACATCTGCCCCTATCTTGGTACATCCTCAGCCAGAATTGCCATTTACTGTAGAGGTAGATGCTTCTGATTCAGCTGTTGGGGCTATACTATCTCAAAGGACTGGACCTAAGATGTTGTTACATCCATGTGCCTTCTATTCCCGCCAGATGTTACCAGCAGAAAGAAATTATGACATAGGGAATAAAGAACTTTTGGCTATAAAAGCTGCCTTCACCGAATGGAGACATCTCTTGGAGGGAGCCACCCATCCAATTACTGTCCTCACAGATCACAAAAATCTGGAATGTATCCAATCCGCTAAGAGACTGTCAGCCAGACAAGCACGCTGGTCCCTATTTTTCTCAAGGTTTAATTTTTTTATTTCATACCGCCCTGGTTCCAGAAATGGCAAGGCGGATGCCTTGTCTAGGATAGCTGACCCCCTCCATACTACAGTAACCAAGGCCACCATCTTGCCAGAGAGCAGATTTTTAGGAGTTACCTTTCCTTCTGATCTAATGTCTCGCATTAAAAAGGGCTACTCTAAAGATCCAGTTTTTCGTGATCCTCCTCGTGATCTTCATATGACCATGCTTAATGGGTTTTGGATTTTTCAACAACGTCTGTTTGTTCCAGAATCAGTGCGACTGGACGTTTTACGCCTCTACCATGACTCTAAACCAGCAGGTCATCCAGGAATCCGAAAGACACAAGAACTACTTACCCGATCCTTTTGGTGGCCTAAATATTATGAGGATGTTAAGAAGTATGTGTCCTCTTGTGATGTATGTGCCAGACATAAGACTCCTCGCTCATCCCCTGTTGGCTTGCTTCAGCCTCTTCCGATTCCTCATCGTCCCTGGGGATCTATATCCATGGACTTTATTGTGGAACTACCTCCCTCTAAGGAACACACTACTATTCTTGTTGTTGTGGACCGGTTAACCAAGATGAGTCATTTCATACCAGCTCGTGGTCTCCCTTCAGCTAAACAGACTGCTGACCTTGTTATTCGGGAAATATTTCGCTTGCATGGAGTGCCTGATGAAGTAATTTCTGACAGGGGAGTGCAGTTTACATCTCATTTTTGGAAATATTTTTGTTCTATTCTAGGTATTAATGTAAATCTGTCTTCAGCTTTTCATCCACAAAGTAATGGACAGACTGAGCGAACCAACCAGACTTTAGAACAATATTTGCGGTGCTATATTAGTTACCTGCAGGATGACTGGCTGGATTTTCTACCCACGGCGGAGTTTGCCTATAACAATGCCCAACACTGCTCCACTTCTCTGAGCCCATTTTTTGCCAATTATGGTTACCATCCAACCTTTCTAGTGAGTCTCCCAATTACTACTCCCATTCCTGCAGTCACTGACCGGCTAACCGCCTTACGAGATTCCCAAGAACTGTTGAAGGAGACTCTTTCGGAGGCTCAGGAATGTTACAAAAGAGCTGCTGATAGGCACAGAAAGGAGGCCCCAGTTTATCATGTTGGTGACAAGGTTTGGCTGTCAACAAAGAATCTTAAGCTTAGGATTCCTTCTCATAAATTGGGTCAAAAGTTCATGGGACCTTTTAAGATAATCGCTCAGATCAATGCAGTCACCTTCCGTCTGCAACTTCCGGATTCCATGAAAATACATCCGGTGTTTCACGTGGCACTGCTTAAACCTTTTCATGAAAATACTTTCCCTGGTCGAGCCTTGCCTGCCCCACCACCAGTCCTCGTGGATGGTGAAGATGAATACGAGGTGGAAAAAATTCTTGACTCCAGGATCTTCCGCAACAAACTTCAATACTTGGTTCATTGGAAAGGCTATGGTGAGGAGGATAGATCATGGGAACCAGTGGACAATATTCATGCTCCTGATCTTCTTCAGTCTTTCCATGCACAGTACCCTGCTAAACCAGGAAATAGGGCATCCAGAGGCTGCGCCTGTAAAGGTGGAGGTAATGTGAGGAACTGACTCTGCTGGGTTTCGAACCCTGGTTTACATGGTGCTAAACCTTTTCATTACCAGTACACCAGCCTGCCTTTTGCAAATTTACCTGAGATCTGATACCATTGCTTGTAGAGTCAAGGTTATCAGTGACAACTCACTTCAGCTGTGTCTAGTCAGGTGTCTGGTTCTTGGCCTATAAAAGCCACTTCCTGTCTCTTTACCTTTGCCAGATTATTGTGGTTCCTGTACTCTCTAATCCAGCGTGTTCCTGTTTCTCCTTCCTGTTGCTGAATTTGGACTGTTTTGACTTTGCTGCTTCTCCTTCCCACTGACCTCGGCTTGCCTGACTACGATTATCATCTTTCTGTTCCAGTCTCCCATCTCTGCTTAAGACCAGAAGGCCACTCAAGGCTCAGGGGCTCAACCACCTGGGTAACGAGTGGCTACCTCTGGCAGAAAACATTGCTGATCTGGCTACTGGACTCCAAAACTTTGTAACATCAATATCATTACACCCACATTAAGACATTACACTGTATTAATGAGATACACAGCATTTAGAGGATTCCTGGCAGCTTTTAGTTAGGTGTTTCCATTTTGGCTGCTTTTCAAGCAATCATCAGTATATCAGGAGGAGCTGCCAATTCCAGTCGAATTGCTTCAGACTGCAAATGAAACATGCTCTCAATACTGAAAATCTCCCTCAGGCGTGAGTTTCTTAACATCGATTCCTAACCGCCTCCACTGCCTAAAAATTTTCATGATTAAATTACACAGGAGTAATAACAGATAATGCATTAAAAAAATGCAAATAAATTATATGAAAAAATTCTTACTTTTCAAGATCCTGACAAGACACAATTTAAATAAGCAGTCAATGCACACCTTAGGCCTTCAACATAGAAAAGTATCTGGTGGCGTTTCACAGAGTCAAACTCGGTGAAACTGCAGGAGGCTTAGCCCTGCAAAGTGAACATTGTAGTTTCTCTAAAACGGCAATGTTTTACATTGCAGGGTTAAGGGGACAGGGACACTGCACCCAGACCACTTCAATGAGATGGTGTAGCCCGGGTGCCTATAGAGTCCTTTTAAAGTTCTACTCTGTAAATATAAGGAAATCTCGAATTGTACAATTTCTTGTGTGTTAAAATAATAATTAAAATCATAATTTAATTGCTCATTTTGGAAGATATGCTTCTTAGGCCTTGGAGTCCCAGTCCCTACCCCAAATCCCTTATTATAATACTCTAGCACTGTCTGTTCTCCTAATTACAGTTTTTGTTCTTTACGGATTTTGAGCTTGTAAAAGCCGGGCAAGTCCTGCCCCTGATCTTTATAAAGCCATAGATCAATAGATAAAAAATATCCCTTCTTCCCTGGGGCTACAAAATTTCTTAAAGGACCACTCTAGGCACCCAGACCACTTCAGCTTAATGAAGTGGTCTGGGTGCCTGGTCCTTCTAGGGTTAACCCATTTTTTAATAAACATAGCAGTTTCAGAGAAACTGCTATAATTATGAATGGGTTAAGCCTTCCCCCTAATCCTCTAGTGGCTGTCTCATTGACAGCCACTAGAGGCGCTTGCGTGCTTCTCACTGTGAAAATCACAGTGAGAGCACGCCAGCGTCCATAGGAAAACATTGTAAATGCTTTCCTATGAGACCGGCTGAATGCGCGCGCAGCTCTTGCCGCGCGTGCGCATTCAGCCGGCGGGGCGGATCGGAGGCGGAGAGGAGGCAGAGAGCTCTCCGCCCAGCGCTGGAAAAAGGTAAGTTTTAACCCCTTTCCCCTTTCCAGAGCCGTGCGGGAGGGGGTCCCTGAGGGTGGGGGCACCCTCAGGGCACTATAGTGCCAGGAAAACGAGTATGTTTTCCTGGCACTATAGTGGTCCTTTAATGATAATCAGTTTCAAGGTGAAATGGGCACTTTATAATAACCCAGGACGAGGTAAAAGGAGGATAGAATCATAATGCCTTTATGAAACTATGGCACAGTATAGAATCTTTACAAAAAATATAAATTGGGTTGGAATGTTGTTGAAATTTTGGCCGAGGAAATATTATTATATTATGTTATATTATATCAATATTATATCCGAGGGATATTATTGATAGACGTGGTTGCACTCGAGGAAATGGGATATTATTGATAAACGTGGTTGCACTCGAGGAAATGGGATATTATTGATAAACGTGGTTGCATTACCATTCGTAGGACCTACAGAAGAATAATCTACCAATATTGTGAACTGCTGATTGGATACTTTCGCAGATTTGTTGATTAAAGGGTTACTCTAACCCGTTTTAATAATACTATTCTTTTATTTCTGTTAGGATGCCCTGCTGGGCATTATTAATTACCCCCTTATAAACCTGCAAAATAAACTGTAAACTCTCCTGGAATCCAGCGTGGGTGAAGCTGCCCTTGATGGATTCCATACCAAGGTCCAACATCACCGCTACCCTCTCATGGGTCAATGCAATGCTTCTAGAGAAGCATATGATTGGACGGTTTCATCAGCTCAGAGCGCATGCGTGCGGTGTGAGCCAAGTGGGGCAGGGAAGGGTTGGACAGAGGGAAGTGGTGGGGCTTAAAAAAAAAATAGAATAACTGTAACTGGAGGAAGGCAGAGGAAGGCAGGGAGAGCATATTGAAGTATACCCTTGCAGAATCAATGACTGCAAAAGAGAAACTCATTACACTGTGCGCATTGACGACAGACCTTATTTTTGCACAGACTTCACATTAGTCAGTATGGAATAGAGCTGCCTAAGTCACATGTGCCAGGGGTGCAACTAGCCCTCGGCACAAAACTGCAAATATCTGTGTGTGTACAGTGTTTCAAGCAGAATCGCCAGACATACAGATTATTACCACCATAACCACTTATTTTAAATGCTTATAATTTATTAAAGATTTTTTGCATTACAAGAAAAGGTGAACAGTCTCCACGTTACAAACGTCACATAAGGAGGGTAGCATACAGATCGCACCATAACCACTTCTAAAAGCAGAAGTGGTCTTGGTGGTCTTAGTAACCCTTTAACAAACCAGATGAACACTTTTGGTGATAAACTCTTACTAAAGTGAGTTCAAGGAATGAGGCCACAAATAGAGGCAGTTTTCATTCTACAGTCTTACTCTTTTTTTACCTTGTCTTTCAAGCTACAAAACTATCACAGGGCATACATTGTATCCAACCACTGGCTTGATCTCAATCTCTCTTCTCAACCGCAGCGCACCTGTTACCAACACAATACAATTAAGGTATTATGATACCATAAACTGGCTTCTAAATGATCTGCCTTTCAAGTTTTTTTTACATGCAACAAAAGATATATGATCTCCCAAGTCATCGTATTTATTTATTGCATCGTTACACTGGAATGCTTTCAAAACCAATCAAGTTTATATTTATTTAAGTTTAATCAGGTCATATTCGATATAATTCCCAACAATTCTCACTTTAGTAGAAAAGTCTGTGACTATTATAATTGTCTGTAAGTAAGACTCAGGTGTTCTGAAGATGTAATAGTTCTTGGGAAACATTGATAAAATTATCATCATTGAACATTAATATGGGTAATATGGGTTAAATCCTACCGGAGCCCAGAATTATATTCAATTGTGGCATATGGCCTTGGTGATGTGACTATGTGCATGTAATAACTCTTGTGATAGAGATGTTTTAGCAAAGCCTCCCAACTCTACTGACTGCGATAGGACTGTAGCTGATTCAGTGTCCTGTTCCAGAATCTCGAATTGTCAGAACAAGCACCTTCCATATGGCATCCCCGCCAGCAATGCACCGTGGTGGGGGGGTAATCTGTGTTACTCTTCTGAGCAATATTGCTTTCTGACTGGTGCAGCTCTTCACTGTATGTGTGAAGTAAAAATTTTTAGTTATATACTGGATGAAAACTATTATTAAAGGAATTCTATAGTGCCAGGAAAACAAACCGTTTTCCTAGCACTGTAGAATCCTATAGTGCCTCCCTTCCTCCCGTTCCCCATCCCACGTTGCTAAAGGGGTTAGAACTCCTTCAGTCACTCACCTGAATTCAGTGTTGATGTCCCTGGGTGCTGGGTCAGGCTCCGCCCATGCTTCTAACCCACCAACGTTAGCCGGTGGTGGAGATGTAATGCGCATGCGCGACAGTGGTGCTTTTCTATGGGGAAATATCTGACGCTGGAGGTCCTCATGCATAGCGTGAGAATGTCCAGCGTCAGATAAAGGACCAAAGGTACGTTTGGATTCCAGAAGTCCCTACAGTGGCTGTCTAGTAGACAGCCATTAGAGGAAGAGATAACTCTCAGAGGTAATTATTGCAGTTGCTCAAAAACTGCAATAATTACTATTGCAGGATTAAGGGACATAAGACATTGCACCCAGACCACTTCAATGAGCTGAAGTGGTCTGGGTGCCTACAGTCTCTCTTTAATGTTGGGGAAACAAATATGTATTTCCTTAGTGTCCCTGTCCCTAATTTAATAAGTCACCCCCCCCACACACACCTCACCTCCAGCATGTAAATGATATTTAAAAAAAAAAAATTACCTTACCTCTTTCAAGCACGAGGCTCCCTAGGTCTCCTCCCCCCGCGACGTCACAGAGATGGGGGGACCTAATGCACATGCGTGGCATTAAAGCTTCCCCATAGAATAGCATTGAATTATTGCTTTCCTATTGGGAATTTGAAGACTGTAGATGTCTCCATGCAAAGCTTGAGGACGTCCAACGTAATTTCACCGAGTAAAACTCTGTTTGGGAGCTGGAAGCGCCTCTGGTGACTGTCTGAAAGAAACATTGAAACTGCAACATTTTACGTTGCAGGGTTAAGGGGGCAGTGGCAACTGCACACAGACCACTTGATAAAATGGACTACATATATAGTGTCCCTTTAACATTCAATAAGGGCCGATGTTTTCTATACTTATAACTATGTATGCTTTATTTAGAATAAAGTTATAAAGGATACAATTCCTAGTCAAAAACAACCCCTGTTGATCCCATATTTATTTGTGATACTGTTCTATTTTGATAAATAATGTAATAATGCTGCATGTTCTGACATTACTTTATGGCCTACCTGTTACAATTTTCGGCAGGACCATTTATCCCTTGCCTTTCTGCTACCTTATGTTTATCTTATATAATCATTTATTTTCTGTATTGAAAAATAGTAATAGAGGAATTAAAAAGATCTTAAAAGCAATACAGTTGTTTTTAAGGAAATGCAGGATAAATAGAGAGAAAGATAGCAACAACTACCATGAATAACGTTTTGTCCCTTTAAGATTAGTATTCAGTACAATTGTAACAAGAAGAGGCCTTATTTGCTAAGACACAGAGACTTCAGCCCAGGAATGTCAGATAAACAGCCTTTCTGACTCATTCACAAGGCTACACAGAGCTGGCTCGGTGTGAAGGCCAGAGGCACGACAAGTCTGGACATGCAGTGTATGAGGCCAACATATCTCCTAAAGTATGCAATTAGTGCAAGTTTAAACATTTAGGGGATATTTGTATGGTTCCTTTGGTTTGGTTTTTATTCTTGTGGATCAAATTCTGTCATTTCCAGTTTTGCCCTCTGACCGTTACTGTCAAATAACCAAATTCTCTGTTAAAGGAAAGCTATAGTGCAAAGAATACAAAGTTGTATTCCTAGCACTATAGTGCCTCCCTCGCAAGCCCTTGCACCCCCCCAGCCGCGGTGAATATAGGGTTAAAAACCCTTTATTTACCTACCAGACCCAATTGTCCTGTAACGGTAATTTTGCATCCCACCTGATGCTTTCTCAGGTGCGAAACGCGTCCATGGCGTCACTTACTGTTTTCTGGTGGTTATCTTAGGTGGTCTCTCCTCTGAACAGTAGCGACGGGTAGCTTATTCACTCAGTATTTATATATATTTTTTGTTTGGATACTGTGTTATTTTACACACTTGATACTAGTTTGTACATATGATATTCAAACTATTTTACGCGAGGACTGCTGTTACAGTGCGATGCCATGTGTATTTATTTCCATTACTTTTTTCAATAAATGTGCTACTTTTTCATGACCCTTTTTTCATGTGTGGAGTATTTGCATTTAGCCATGTTTTTTTTTACTGTTATATGTTGGTGCCGTATAAATGCTGATAACAACTTAAGCCTCCCTGGGATCGCTGCCACGCTGACCTTGATTTTATGCTTTCTAGTATCCCTGAACTGGATAGCTTTGACCCTGATTTTTGTTTTTCTGCATTCCTGACCAACTATATTTTTGTCTCAGTATTTCTGACCTTAGTGTTAGTATTCTAGTCCTCATATTTCCCGAGCGTTTGGCCACTCTAAGGTCCAGTAATACGCCTTTCTATTGTTACTACTGAGTCTTTGACAGGTGTTGACTTATATCTTGCTGAGTATCCTAACAGGTTCGTGACAGTGTAAAATCCATCCTGTAGTACTTGCTATTGGCTATCACTATGCGTGCCATAAAAATGCCTTTTCCTTTTAATTACAGGTAGAATCACCAGTGAGGGTTAAGGTGCTTATCAAGCTGCTCTGATTGGATAAGAGCTTAAGTGATTTTGAGTCTGGGTCTGAATCAATCAGTGAGGATGACTGTAGATCAGTTGGACTTACCCAATAGGGACAGATGGGATTTCACTACTGACATTTAAAACAACAAGCCATCGAGCAGTCTCCTGCTGAGATAATACTTTAGCGCTACTGTGCATCTTGTTTCAATACATAACTTACTCACTTAGTATTCAGACAATTTGCAATAAAACCTATAGGGCGAGTTCTTTCGACTGACTGCTGAATGACTGCCAAATAGTTTTTGGTTTTCTAAATTTGACTATATTAGCCAAAAGCTTGGTATATTATTATTATTATTATTATTTTATTATTTATATAGCGCCATCAGATTCTGTAGCGCTGTACAAAGGGTGGACTAACAGACATTTAATTGTAACCAGAAGTACAGGAAACAGAGAGGTGGAGGGCCCTGCTCAATGAGCTTACATTCTAGAGGGAGTGGGGTATAGTGACACAAAGGGTAAATGTAGGGGTACGAAGTAAGATGTTGGAAAAGTATTCGCTGAGGGCTTAATAGGTAATTTTTGACAGTTGCAGGAGAGGAGTCATGGAGGGTGGGGGATGAAAACCTGCTAACAGTTTAATTGATATGCATTCTTGAAGAAGTGAGTTTTCAATGATTTTTTGAATGAGTGGAGACTGGGTGAAATTCTTACGGAGGAGGGAAGGGAGTTCCACAGAAGAGGTGCAGCCCTGGAAAAGTCTTGGAGGCGAGCGTTAGAGGTGGGAGTACAGACAGAGGATAGACGTAGGTCTTTGGCAGAGTGTAGGGGCCTTGACGGGACATACTTGTGTATTAGGGATGATAGGTAGGTTGGAGCTTTGTAAGCAAGCATCAGAATTTTAAATTGAACCCTATATCTAACTGGGGGCCAATGCAGGGACTGACAGAGCGGCGAGGCGTGGGAGGTGCGAGCGGACAGGAAAATGAGCCTTACCGCCGCATTAATTATAGATTGCAACGGTGCAATCTGTGAACATGTAAGAACACTGAGAAGGGTATTGCAGTAGTCCAGGCGAGAGAGAACAAGAGCATGGACCAGCACCTATGTTTTTGAGATGGAAGCGACAGGATTTGGCAATTGATTGGACATGAGGGGTGAAGGAGAGGTTGGAGTCAAAAAGAACACCCAGGCAGCGAGCTTTGGAGGTAGAGGTGATGGTAGCGCCGTTGACTTGGAGGGAGACAGACACGGGAGTAGTAACACTTGAGGGAGGAAAGATCAGAAGTTCTGTTTTGGACAGGTTGAGTTTAAGGAAGTGAGCAGCCATCCATTTGGAAATCGGGGCAGTCAGAGACACGAGTCAAGATGGGCGGAGAGTGATCAGGAGAGGACAGGTAGTTTTGCGTGTCATACGATAATGGAAGCCAAACGAGCTGATGAGTTTACCAAGGGAGGCAGTGTAGATAGAGAACAGTAGGGGACCAAGGACAGAACCTTGGGGGATGCCGACAGAGAGTGGTTGGGGGGAAGAGGCAGAGTCAGAGAAAGAAACACTGAAAGAGCACTGGGAGAGGTAGGAGGAGCACCAGGAGAAAGCAGTATCCCGTAGACCAAAGTTACGGAGAATGCGAAGAAGCTGTTGATGATCAACAGTGTCAAAGGCAGCAGAGAGATCAAGGAGAATTAGGATAGAGTAATGGCCGCGAGATTTAGCAGCAATTAAATCGTTGGATACTTTGGTCACAGCCGTTTCGACAGAATGACCAACGCGGTATATGAATCGTATACAGCTGTTCACAAAAGGTAAATTAATTTTTTCCGGCCATGTTTGTACTCCATTCAGCTATTTTGCTGAGTTAGCTGTGGGATGTAACTGAATCACTATAGGTTTATTAATTCACAAAGAATACATGAATTGCAACTAAATCACTGTCATTCATTCAATTTAATTCCACTGATACAAAGCAGGAAAAAGTTCAACATAATCCTAAATCCCACCCCCCCACAAAAAAAGTCACACTAAAGCTAGAGATCATAAGCTGACATTAATTTACAAATCTGTTGAAATTCGGCTGGAGACAATATAAAATAGCTGGGATCAATTGGTTTGATGTGTTTCAGTTAGAACAATAGAAAGTAATGTGTACTTTAGAGGAATTTTATCAGCCAAAATGAAGAGGATTAAGATGAATGAAAGTAAATGAATTTGTAATGGAAAATTCAGTGTAGAATAGTGGGTGGATTCCCTTACAGAAAAGGTTAATTTTTAAAACACTAATTGCAACATTGAGGTTAAAATAGCTAATTTAAAAATTAATTTCTCCAATTCAATTCATGTGGGTAGACTTCTGGCGAAGGGGAAGGGGGATCTGCCCCTGTATTAGACAGGCTAGAGACCTGTGGAAGCTTGTAGAATGTACCTTTAGTAGATTAAAATGTTTGGCCTGTATGTTGCCTTGCATATGGGAGAACTATGAATGTTGTCCTTGTTTCTTGATACTGGAGGTACCAGCACTTTTTAATGTCTTCCACAATAAAGTACTAGTGTAATTTGAGATGCTTGTAATTGGATGTGACGAGAACACTACCATGTAAACTTTATTTTTATTTTCAAATATTTAAAAATCAGGTACAACAATCACACATATGCAGTCATTGTGTCCTGATATGGAAAACCATAGAATTCAAAGAGGGTGTACTTTCTTTTTCGCATGACTGTATATTTTCTCCTAGTGATATCTAAGAATATACAGAGATAGTCATCATGATTTTTTTTTTTTTTAACTTCAGCACATAATCAGCTAATTCAAACTCATGCAAAAGTGGCAACTGAAATCTAAACTGAGAACAGGGAAGCAATTTGGCCCAACATTGGGGTTTGCCTGGGAACACCTACCACACCCCTTCGATGTACCAGGTCCCTTGGCTATAGGACATTACTAGCAGTCTACATAGAAGGAAGTCAGAACCTTAGTTTTGGCTTTGAATACTCGACTTTGGTATGAGAAATTGCCAGTACTTTTTCAAAGGTGCACGAGATCTTCGGCACCTGTTATCCCTGGTAAAGTCAGTATTGACAGAATTTCCCCCAATTTGTGTTTTTACTGGAAATTACTATTTTTTTCCTTGGGTGAAAATCCCCTTTGACACAGCCCTGCATTACATCATTGTGACAAATAACAAATATATACTATGGAGCAACTCAGAAATCTGACCTCATAGGTGCTGGACTTCACCAAAGATTATGAAAGTTGAGATGAATAATTGATGAATAATTCATCCTCAAAAGAATGACTTAGGAAATATCATAGGATTGTATCCTTTATTCATGAAATGCCAATTCTTCTAATATGTGACTATAAATCATTAAAATAGCTTTCTCCTTTTTTCCCCATCTCTCATTCAGGATTTTTCATCTTACTACTCATTTGGACGACCAAACACTTCTGTAATTTCTTTGTGCTTCACTGGAGGCTTCTACAAGAAGATTATCCATCACGTTTATGAGGTGATAGGACTCCGTGAGCAGGTGTTAGCCCTGCTTGGACTCCGTAGGAGATTCCCGAAATGTCTGGTTTAGAGGAGAAAGCTACTAGTCTTCAATTGTATCTGCAAGAATCTAGGAAGAAGATCCACAGTCATGTTTCTTGTCACTAGAGATGGTCTTCTTTCTCTTCTTCTTGAGTTACAGGGACAGAAGACTCCTTTGCAAAGACTAATACTTTAACTAATGTTAAGGGTATGTTCACAAACATACAGAACTGAAGACCAAATAATGCTATCATCACAATAAACTATTTACTAATTTAGCAATCATACAAGGTTCACGGGCTGTTGCACTAATCGGTGAGACCTTCTGAATTCTGGGTACACTTCTTGCTCTGAATTTCCAGGTGCTTGTTACTTTATTTTTTCTTCTATTGATTATTTGAGCTGTACTACAGTTTGTGAAATATGTTTTTTTGTGACTTTTGAAAATAAAGAAATAATGCAAGTTATAACTAGTTATTTTAGTCGAAATACAGAGGCGAGGATTGCGCATATTTCTGCTGAATGCTACACGTTTCAATTTGTTTCCTTTTTGTTTCCTGAAACCTCATCTTTACATTTAATTTTTGTTTTTACCATAAGACAAATTAGTTACAAAATATTCTTAAATATAAGGTTTTTTTGTGGTTGTTTTCTTTCAAATACAGTTTACCATTTTCAAGATAAAGTGCAATTCTAGAACTATTTAAAAACATGGGTCATCCCTCCATATCAACATGTTAATTTGTACGTGCTGCGGTAAGGCAGCAGTCAATTAATTCATGGACGTGTTTTTACTAAAGTGAAAGTTGTTTGGATTTCAAAGTGAATGAAAAATTTTAGGCCACAAAAAGTCAAACTGAAAATATCTCTGACTTTTCTTTTTTGCCTGAGCAATAACATTTAAATGGAACCCGATTTGAAACACAACGAAAACATAAAAACGAACACATCTACTGACAAAGAATATTATTATGTTGAAACAAAAACTAGATTGCTGTTTTTATTTTTATATTTTATAGTGTGAATAAACAGTAGAAGTTAAAGGGACACTATAGTCACCTGAACAACTTTAGCTTAATGAAGCAGTTTTGGTGTATAGAACATGCCCCTGCAGCCTCACTGCTCAATCCTCTGCCATTTAGGAGTTAAATCCCTTTGTTTATGAACCCTAGTCACACCTCCCTGCATGTGACTAGGGTTCCATAAACACTTCCTGTAAAGAGAGCCATATTTAGGCTTTCTTTATTGCAACACATGTTTGCATGAAAATGCCTGAAGGGAGCCATTATACACACCATTGAGCTGTAGTTGTTCTGGTGACTATAGCGTCCCTTTAAAAAAACTAGAGTAAAAAGTCTGCAAAAAATATGTTTTTGTTGTTCCAGGAATCGAAAGTAAATTAAAATTTTAAACCAAAATAGTAAAATTGGAAAAATTCCTCGACAATGACTTTCCATTTGTCAATGTTAACTTAAATTTTAAATTCACTTCGAATTTCTGACAAATCACAATTTAGTGAACAAACCTGTGTGTTCTATACCAAAACTGGTCAACTACAACAGAGCAAATTGCTACTATTTAATTCAAGTTGTGAGTTTGAAAACTTACTCAGCTCTGCAGTTTTTTATATAAAGTCTATTGTATCACATTTTATTATCACTATAAAAGATCAACCTAATTATCTGCCCATCTGTGTTCTCGGGTTGTTAAATTAATTCTCAGCATTAAAACTGACATAAATAAATCATTGTACAATGACAACCTTGGTCAGAGGAGTTTCTTGAATCTGAAGTAGGTGAGAATGTGCTGTGTCAGCACATGAAATCAAAGGGTTGGCACACAGAGCCAAAACAGGTCACTGCAAGTACAGAATAAAGGACCATATGGCAAAGTGACAATATATGGATACAAGAACTCCCTGCTAAAAGATCATTAGGCAACCTTTGGCACTCTAGTTGTTGTGGACTACATCTCCCATAATGCACTTACAGACATAGTGCTGGCAAAGCAACAGGGGTTATGTAGTCCACAACATCTGGAATGTCGAAGGTTGTCTACTCTGGCCTGTAGAGAAGGGGCTGCTGTGGTGGGCATGCAGAATTTACTCCAGAAGACTGAAGTTGGAGAGAATTTTGTTACTTGGCTACATAAGTTTGCATCTCATTATGTCAAGCCACTTTGACTCAACTTAGTTGCGAAAAAATTTTTTTTACCAAAAAAAAGAACAATTGAAAAAAAACTCATTTTTTTTCTTTTTTCTCAGTTCTTTATTTTAGGCTTAGTAGGAATTTGATAACATAGTTGGCAGTTAGGTCATAGCATAATACTACTTACAAAATCAGTATAACAGATAGAGAAAAATCAGCTGACAAAATATTTTTAAAAATTTTCTGTCAAATAGCATTTAAAGGAACACAAATAAAATGTTGTTTATTTGCTTTAAAAAAAACAAAAAAAAAACAATATAGTAGATCTAAAAACAACTTGCAAAAAGCTGCAGATCTCTTGCGAGCCCCCTGCCTTCCAACCTCGCCCAGACTTTCTGTGGCTGTCCAATCACAGACTTCCCAATACAGCTCAATGAGAAGTCTTTGCAAGGTAAGTGCTCCGAGCAATTGCTGCCTTTTGAGTTTAGCCAAACTGAGCGAACCAAACCAGGAAGTAACAATACTTGTATGATTGACAGCCAGAGGGGTGTAACCAGTATAATTTATATAAGTGCCAATTTCTATTAAAATCTGCACTTTTAGTAAAATGTATAAAAGAGGACACACGCTTCACACAGCAAACTGAATTTGATCAATTGAGTAGGTTCTGAACTTGATAGTGAAAGTGTTGATGAATACTCCAAAGGAAACATCAGCCACAGGTTGAAAAGCCATTATTTATGTGGAATAGAATGTGCAGAAAAAGCAGAATTGCTGTGTTGTGTTACTGTCTGTGAAGTGCCTTTATTTGTGTCAGTCGTGCCACAAATGCCTCCCTGTTGCTATGGAGGGACTGCCTATAAGGCTGCCTTTCATAAATTACATTAGGTGTTTTAACAGGAAAAATGTCCTGTGCCATCAGGTGGTAATGTTTTCCAAAACTCAATATCAGAGCGAGATTACTAAACGATAGTACAAGCACTTTACCCACAGGAAGGAATGCTGCAGATAGCCTACATGTACACACTGTCCAGGGCCAGATTAACAGCCCAGTGGGCCTGGTGCTGACAATTATGACGGGCCTAATTACAGAATCATATCGACGAAAAACACTAAAACACTCCCAAGCGTCATGTATCTGATGGAGATGGTGCTGGAGAGAAAGAAAACAGCAACTATAAGAAAACACATACCCTAGGCTAATCTCTCACTAATTTATGTTTTCATCTTTCAAGTAAATCCATAACCCCTTACAGCAGTGTCCAGTCAAGCAGGAAGTCAATGGGCACGGTAAAAGGGTGTGCCACTGACACAAATCACTTAACCTGCCAAAAGGGGCGAACATGCCCAAAAAGAGGATATGTCTGCTCAAAGAATTAGAAGGCCAGCCTGGCATGAATGCATGTCAGGCTGCCTGCCAATCATGCAGCTGGCCAACTAAGGGCATACTATGCAGACAGCACCCTGAGCTTGGCATAAATGCATCTAATGATGCGCTCACTCAACGCTTTCTAAGGACTGTCCCCTAGCACTCGCTGGTCCACTTGTCTCCTCACCTTCTTACTAGCAGGCAGAAGCTCCTGGTATATAGTCTGGGACAGAGAAAAGCTGTATGTAGTGAGTGTAGAAGAAAGGGAACATGCCACAGTGTTAGAGAGACCAAAGTCAGCATTACCTTAAAGGATCACTATAGGGTCAGGAACACAAACATGAATTCCTGACCCTATAGTGTTAACACAACCATCTAGCCCCCTGGGGCCCCTCATGCCTCCATAAATATAGCAAAATCTTACTGTATTCAAGCCTGAAGCTGTAACTCTGCATGCTGTTAGACTCAGAAAAACAAGCAGTCTGCTGACATCAGAAGTGGTGGCCTAATCCAATCACAGTGCTTCCCCATAGGCAGATGCGGCTCTCTAATTAGGCGGTTTAGGCAGCCGCCTAAGGCCTCGCGCTGGCTGGGGCCTCGCGGCCACCTAAACCACCTGTGGGCAGACTGTGTCAGGTCCTCGGTCAGTGACCGAGGACCCGACACCAGGCGGGGGCCCGGCAGCTTGCCCGGTGTGCGAGGCCCCTCCTGGCTGCCCGGCCAGCCACCGCAGACACCGGTCTGCAGCACCGCAGTTAGCAGAGCTGCAGACCATGTGTCTCGTGAACACTGGCCAATCAGAGCATTGCCGCGGGTTACCATGGCAACGCTCTGATGGTCTCACGAGATTACACGGTCTGCAGCTCTGCGGAGCTGCAGACCAGAAGCAATAGCCACTGGACCACCAGGGAATAAAGGTAGGTTCTCTCTCACCTCCCTCAGCATCACCCCCACTGGACCACCAGGGAGTAAAGGTAGGTTCTCTCTCACCTCCCTCAGCATCACCTCCTCACCACCCCACCACACTCAGCCTCACCACCACCCTCCGCCTCACCCCCCCCACCACCCTCAGCATCACCACCCCACCACACTCATCACCCCACACTACCCTCAGCCTCACCACCCCACACCACCCTCAGCCTCACCACCCCACCACCCTCAGCCTCCCCACCACCCTCAGCCTCCCCACCACACTCAGCCTCACCACCACCCTCAGCCTCACCACAATCCACCACCCTCAGCCTCAGAGGAAAGTTCAGTGTCTGCATGCAGAGGGAGGAGACACTGAATGTTTGGATGCATTTTAGGCAGCCATAACCCAGGAAGGATCTCTAACAACCAAGGAGTGGCCAGTGAAGTTATCACTAGGATGTAATGTAAACACTCCATTTTCTCTGAATAGACAGTGTTTACAGCAAAAGGCCTGACGGTAATGATTCTACTCACCAGAACAAATTCAATAAGCTGTAGTTGTTCTGGTGACTATATTGTCCCTTTAACTATATTCATTGTCATCCAGTCCACACAAGTTTTGTTCCCATACATCCCTCTTAAGTTTCCATACTTAAGTAAGAGTATGTGAAAAGTAGTCAGGGTTGCCACCTTTCTTGGAAAAAAACATACCGGCCTTACTAATTTGCATAATTAAATATGTATGGGTGACATCACATGATGTAAATCACAAGGAGTGACATAAGAGAAAATGCTGTAAAATCACCAAAAAACTACTTGGTTTGATTCTGCTGTATAGATGGATTCCTCCCAGTGCCCCCATGTGTCGATTACTCCAGGTCTCAGTGTTCCTATGTATCAGTGTCTCAGTTCCCCATGTCTCCCAGTGTCCCCTAGTGTCGTGTCCACAGGTCTCCCAGTGACCCTATGTATCACATTGTCCCTATGTATCACAGTGTCTCAATGCCCCATGTCTCCCTGTGTCCTCCAGTATTCCCATGTGTCTATGTCCCCATGTATGTGTCACTAGGACACTAGGAAGACGGGGAGACCTGGGGACACGGGGAGACCTAGGGACACAGAGACACAAGTGACACTGGGAAACTAGGGGACACTGGCTGGGACACATGGGGACACTGGGAAAACAGGGGACACTTGAAGACATGGGGACACAGACACTAGAGACACTGGCTGGGGGACATTGAGACATGGGGGCACTGGGAGACATTGGGACACTGAGACACCAGGGCCACATACACTAGGGACACAAGCTTGGAGACATGGGGACATTGAGACACTTGAGGCACTGGGAGACATGGAGGCACTAGGAGACATGGGGACAGTGAGACACTGGCAGACTGGGGGCACTGGGAGACTAGGGGTCACTGGGAGACTAGGGGGCACTGAGACACCAGGGACATTGGCTGGGAGACATGGGGGCACTGAGAGACATGGGGACACTGTGTCCCCATGTGTCTGTGTCATAATGTCTCCCAATGTCCCTTAGTGTCTCAGTGTCTGCCATAGTGTCTCTTAGTGCCTCAGTTTATGTCTCCTTGCAGCCTTTCCCCCCCATCCCTTACTTCCATGAGCTGTATGCTGTCTGGACTCTCTGTAGCTGCACCCCTGCAGACAGAGCCAGATTAAGAGCCCAGTGGACCTGGTGCTGACAATTATGACGGGCCTAATTACAGAATCATATTGACCAAAAACAGTAAAACACTCCCAAGCGTCATGTATCTGATGGAGATGGTGCTGGAGAAAAAGAAAACAGCAGCTATAAGAAAACACATACCCTAGGCTAATCCCTCACTAATTTATGTTTTCATCTTTCAAGTAAATCCATAACCCCTAACAGCAGTGTCCAGTCAAGCAGGAAGTCAATGGGCACGGTAAAAGGGTGTGCCACTGACACAAATCACGTAACCTGCCAAAAGGGGCGAACATGCCCAAAAAGAGGATATGTCTGCCCAAAGAATTAGAAGGCCAGCCTGGTATGAATGTATGTCAGGCTGCCTGCCAATCATGCAGCTGGCCAACTAAGGGCATACTATGCAGACAGCACCCTGAGCTTGGCATAAATGCATCTAATGATGCGCTCGCTCAACGCTCGCTAAGGACTGTCCCCTAGCACTCGCTGGTCCACTTGTCTCCTTACCTTCTTACTAGCAGGCAGAAGCTCCTGGTATATAGTCTGGGACAGAGAAAAGCTGTATGTAGTGAGTGTAGAAGCACATTGTTAGAGAGACCAAAGTCAGCATTACCTTAAAGGATCACTATAGGGTCAGGAACACAAACATGAATTCATGACCCAATAGTGTTAAGACCACCATCTAGGCCCCCTGGGCCCCTCATGCCTCCATAAATATAGCAAAATCTAACTGTATTCAAGCCTGAAGCTGTAACTCTGCATGCTGTTAGACTCAGAAAAACAAGCAGTCTGCTGACATCATTAGAAGTGGTGGCCTAATCCAATCGCAGTGCTTACCCA